ATAAACAGTTAAATATTGCTTTATTTTAGTGTGATGAGTGAAATAAAACAGAGCAAATAAATTATTTAATACCATAATTAAAAGCAACCAAATATTTCTCAGGGAAGACCTCTCCCTCTCATAATTAAACTAACCTGTAAGTTTACCAAATAAACACTATGAACACTTCCAAACCGTTATATTACCTCACTGTCCTAGCATTTAAAAAAAAAACCAAAAAACACAAATACAATTTTTTTTAAAAAAGCAAATACAAAATTTTGTGTATTTTTAAAAATCAACATTTTACTGGTAGGCTTAAAATAAGGTTGACAGAAAAATTCCAAAACATGGGTAAGATCACCTGTAGCAAGGAGTACATGTTTGGGTGAATCTGTTGTCAGAATTCAGGAAAGTAAATAAGTAATGCCTTGTTTACTTTTGAATTGATAAAAAAAGCAGGCCTCCCCGAGAAGAAACTGGATGACCACAGATGGTGCTAGGATGCAGAAATGGAAAGAGACCAAGGCCTCAGTGACAGCAACTTTTAATTTAGCCAAAAACATCACTTCAGATATTTTGCTGTTTTACTAAAGTATTAAATTTACTAATTATTTCAAAATTTCACTTTTTTTGTTTGTTTGTTAATCCTCACTCAAGGATTTTTAGAGAAAGTGGAAGTGTGAGGGAGTGAGGGGGAGAGAGAGAGAGAAAGAAACATTGATGTGAGAGAGACACATCAATTGGTTGCCTCCTATACCACCCTGCCTGGGGCCCAAGATCAAACCTGAAACCCAGGTACGTGCCCTTGACCAGGAATCGAACCTGCAACTCTTCAGTCTGAGGGCCAACACTCTAGCCACTGAGCCAAATGGGCCTGGGCTAAAATTTTACATATTTTAAATGTTAGAATTACCACTAAGTAACCAAAAATTAAATTAGATTCTATTAATGCTATTCCAAGGCAGAAAATACATTACAAGCAAATGTTGATCTGAGACCCAGGATTTAACATCTTCTTCGTCAATCACTTCAACTAGCACATAACCAAAATAAGCCTGGAAATATTCCCTGTAGACCATGGTACATCCTAGTTTAAAAGATGCTCCTGCATTTTCTTTTTTTTTTTTTTATCCTCACCCGAGGACATTTTTTTCCATTTTTTGCACAGATAGAGTGGGAGGGAGAGAGAGGAAGAGGGAGAGAGAGAGAAACATCGACGTTAAAGGGACACATCGAGTGGCTGCCACCCGCACGGCCAACCAGGGCTGGGGACAAACTGCAACCGAGGTACATGCCCTTAGCGGGAACCGAACCCGGGTCTCTCCGGACCGCAGGCCAATGCTCTAACCGCTGAGCCAAACCGGCCAGGGCTCCTGCATTTTCTAAGTACAACACATATACCTTTACAAAACGTTTTACAACCTAAACTTTAGGTGAATAAATAGAGTATTTTCCTTTTGTTTCATTTTGAATTCTAATTGAATAGACTCTAGAAACTGTTGAAAGATAAAATGAATGGACTCATTTGACAACAGATACTGGTTCTCTACCAGAGCTAAATTCACCCTCAAGTGTGAAACTTTAGAGCTGATATTTGTGGATATTCTATGAAAAAATATGACTTTAAAATATACTGACCTTTTATATGTCTTATGAAAATATAACATCTTATAAATTAAAGCAAAATCATACGAGGTTATAATTATTTTTAAATATGTATATTATTATTGACAATATTACAGATGTCCCCCATTCCCCCCCTTTACCCTCCTCTGCTCAGCCCCTAACCTGCCTTCACCACATATTGTCTGTGTCCAATGAAACTGCCGTTTGACCCAGAGATTCCTCTTCTGGGAATATATCCTAAAACCCCTGGAACACCAATCAGAAAGAATATATGCACCTGTATGATCATAGCAGTGTTATTTACAAGGTTATATTTTTTACAAATTTTTAAGAAACAATTCTTAATTCCAATTCGTTTACTATTGAAATACTATATTATTTATGTGTGGGTATATATGTATGGGTATTTATGTGTGTGCACATGTGTAAGTGCATATATATTTAAATATTAGACACAGAATGTTAAATGCTACATATTAGGCTACTTTGAGTGATTAAAGTTTTACTTCTTTTCCAAAAGCAATGTAATTCAGCCATCTAGTGGTAAAGTATAAAGCCATCATTTCTCGTATTTTATTATACTAAAACAATAAGAATGGCAATATGGAAGGGTATTATAGGTTGTTTAAATTTATTATTTCTTTTCTCTGGTGAGCTCACAGAGCTTAATAAAAAACTCAGAAGCATTTTCTTAGTGGATCTTTAAAAAGTCATGTAAGCATTAAAATGGCCAGACATTAAGTTGTTTTTATATTATACTTTAATGAGCCATAAAATTATAAAACATTCTACCAAAAATTCTATTACCTTAACAAATATGTAAATTTGGCCCTACAGATGCTAACACACTTTTAACGTCTATAGAAGATACAGTCTAGTAGGAATGGTATTATACATGTAAGTCACAGAAAAAAAACTGTAGTAAGAGCTATCATAAGGCACTGTGGGAGCAGAGACAGAGGAACGCTTAAACCTGGTGATAGCTTCCTGGAGATGTTATTTAAGTTAAATTTTGGAGGATAAAATTCACCACACAGGTGGGCGAGGGGTGGGTGGTTAAAACACTGATCAACTTGTGTTAAAACAAAGGAAAAATAGGGCACATTAAGAGAATATCAAGTAATTTACCAGGGTTACAACAAAGTTTACATGTGAAGATGGGGAGAAACAGCCGGAGAAGGGGTGGGAAATGTGAGTAGAGTGTTTATGAGAAGCTGTGACCTTAGCCTTCTCTTCACCTTCTGTGCTGTGTTCTCTTCTATGTCTTCAATGTTCATCTATAGATGGGTTCCTTCCACGTCTATTACCTCCATACCAGATCTCCCTGAAACTCTATACTCACAGACGTCAAATAAATACTATCTAAAGTCCAATAAGACACTTCCAGCTCTACATGTTGAAAGATACAACCATCATCTTTGAAAGACCTGCTCATTTTCTTATACCCCAAATCTTTTTTTTTAATCCTCACCCAAGGACACCCTTGCATTTATCTTCAGATAGAGCGAGAGGGAGAGAGGGAGGAAGAGAGAGAGAGAGAAACATTGATGTGAGAGAGACATATCGACTGGTTGCCACCCACACGACCCCAACCGGGGCAGGGGTGAAACTGCAACTGAGGTACGCGCCCTTAGCGGGAACCGAACCCCGGGACTCTCTGGTCTGTGGGCCGATGCTCTAACTGCTGAGCAAAACCGGCCAGAGCTATATCCCGAATCTTAATGAATGGAGCCACAAACCTTCAAGTGACCAAGCTTAAGACCTCAGGGTCATTCCTTCACACCCACTCCCCCAATCAAATGGAATACAAGACTCTGTAGACTCCGCCTCCTTACTATATTTTGTAAACAACTAGCTTCTTTGTCCCCTCTGAGACTCCCAAATTCACTTCCATGTCATCTTTTATCAGGACGATTACAATAGTGTCCTGACTCCTAACTCCCTGTATCTAGTAAGTTTCCAACAGGGTGTTGAAAATATGGTTCTGGAGAAGAGGCAAGAGATCTTAGGTAGAAACCAGATAAGGGAGACACGAGCATATAAATAAATGGGAATGACATTATGACAAAGAGTGATCTTAGGTAGAAACCAGATAAGGGAGACACGAGCATATAAATAAATGGGAATGACATTATGACAAAGAGTGTGACCATCCACGTGGACCCTGCTGCACCAAGAAGAGGACCAAACACAGGACCTTTAGGAGTCCCAGCATTCATGGGATGAGCGAAGTAAAATGTAAAAAAAAGCAAGAGCAAGAAAAATAGAGATAGACTCATAGATAGAGAGCAGGCAGACAGCTCAAGGGACTGGGGGAGGGGATGGGGCAGGTGGGAGGGGTGGGGGGGATTGAGCAAAATAGAAAAAAAGAGAGAGAACTCATGGACATGGGCAAGTGTGGTGACTGCACAGGTGGGGGAAGAAGGGGTGGAGACGAAAGAGTGCATAGAGGGAATAAATGGTGATGGAAAAAATAAAAAATAAATAATTTTATCCTCCAAAAAAGAGACAAGAAAGTCAGGGTTGATAAAGAGACAAGGGAGAGAGGTAGTAAGCAAGCCAAGAGAGGAGTGAGGTTGGAGAAACAGTGATTTATCAAGTTAGATATTAGAAGAATGGTAATGTGACCATTGAAAATAGATTGTGGGACCTAGCAAGTTGGAGTTTCTGGTTAACCTTATTAATAATGGTTGCCAAGAATTGCATTAGAGTTGTAAAAGGGAAACAGAAAAATGTGAAACAATTATCCAAGAAGCATGGCTGTGAAGGGAGAGAAAAAGAGGAGAAGAGAGGGAACTATAGGGCTGCAGGAAGGTTTCTCTCTTCATTTGATAGCACTGAAAATCTTGACTATGTCAAGGGGTTTACACAAGGATGGTGAAGAAAGGGTGGAGAGTAAATGCCAGAATAACAGTTCCAAGTGAGACAGAGGGGGATGAATCCAGCATCCAGGAGTTAGACTGCCTTGGAGAGACAGCAAGCCACCCGAGTCTCTGACATGGTAGTATAATCACCATCATACATGAAATTAAAGGTAGAGGAGAGAGAAATTGAAAAAGTTGTTATCCAATGTTTTCTCTTATCTTTGAAACAAGAGGTACAGGGGTCTATCTAATGGTGAAGAAGTAGGGGCCAAGATAAAAGAGATATAAGTTAAGTATTAATAAATGAAGTTGACTACTCAACTGCTTTGTGCTAGTTTAATAATGTGCTAAAATTCTAATCACTAATAGATGAAAAAGAATCAAATAACTCCTATATTTTCCAATCATATATTCTTATTTCAAATTCTGAATCTTCAAACTACTAACATTTGCATTTCAAAAGTCAATGGTACTGAAAGCATAAAGAAAATGAACATAGTGCTTCCTTTTAGACTATGAAATACGAACCTCACAAATTCCATCTCCTCCAAAATTTCCATCTCTCCTTTTCCTTTGTAAGGCGTGGTGTACAAAAATCAACTGGGTCACTGTAATCCTGCATCTTAGTCAAAGAAGCTTAGTAAAGTAAAATAGATGTTTTTTAATAAAGTTGGCATCAATTACTGCCCAAATAACCTGTCCTTATAAAACTTTAGAAGCCAACACAAACACCTTGGTGCTCCAGAAACAAAAGAATATCTGAAGAGACAAAATAATCAGTTTATAAATGTCTCAAAAATCAAGAAAAGAGCTGCTATTATTTACAGGCTATAGTGAAATACTTTGTTCCTGCTTTTTTAAATTTAAAGTTTTATTTAAAGCTGGTATTTATTAAATAAAAGCTAAAATGGACAGACTATATTCCCATTATAAATGGGAAGTAGGAATAAAAAAATAATTGTTTCTAACACTATATTCTATAAATCTAACCCTATATCTAACAACTCAACATCACATTTTTCAACAATCCAATATCACATTTGTCAACAACCCAACATTACATTTTTCACCGTGCACTGTTACCTTGAGAATTTTGTGAATTTTAAAAACATACCAAGAGACCACATAAAAATTATTTAAATTTAGTAGCACCATATTAGCAAACAAATAAAAAACAGCATGCAAATGCTCAATTATTTCAAGTAAATAAATAAATGAATAAATGGAATAAAATTTTGCTGTACAAATGGCTTTTGATGACACGGCAATTTAGAGGATGTAAACCAAAAACAATGTAAGTTGAAAACATTTATTTTTTCTTTGTGTTATTAGCTAAGGGAAATATGTACTGTAACAATGTGTTTACATACATGACAGGGATTTAAGACAGCTGATATGCCCATTGGAAGGCACACCATTGTATATGAGCATCCTTAGCAATGTAGGCCGAGGGGGGAGCGATGGTCCCAGCACTGACAACACTGGGAAGGGGCCTTGATAACCACACAGATGCAGCACAGAGGGCTGAGCAGGTGATACAAATTGCATTTCGGACCTGCAAATTCTAATCCCTGAACAAATTCAGAAAGATATGGAAATCCAAAGATGTTGAGATTTCAATTGACAAAAGATAACATTTTTTTGTGTCATATAATGTAAAATGTAATCTTACTAATTTGTCAAAAATAATATAATCTGAAATTGTTTATAAAACTTAAATGTCAATCAAATGTATGCAATATTTAAATATGAACACTGCATACGTCACGTATCATTTTAAGTGATATTCTCAAATTCATCACATTTAATGTTTATTGTATACATGTATAAAACTCCAAGACTCTCCGCTTCCCTACATTCAGAAGTTATATTAAATGACAAGAATATATGACAGACAGTAACAACAGTAAGCAACAGCAAATAAAAGTTTACCAAATACTGCTAGATTAACACCCAATCTCTAAAAATTAGCAGAGTGTTTCAATATTACTCTTATCTAACTCCCTCACTCCATCTATACTACATCATTCTAGTCCAAAACACCATTTTCTTAACTGATCCCCCAAAGTTCTGCATATTTCAGTCAGAGCAATTTTTTAAAAACACACGTCTAATTAGAGTATTCTTCTGTGTATGTCCTTTACGCCTGGCCTCTCATTGCACTTTAAAAGACCAGACCAGGGCCTACAAAACTATATGATCTAGTCCCTAAAACTCATCTTTCATGGCCCACAAACCTTTTTTTAGGTCCTCAACCACAGTTTGAGGTAATCCAAAAAGGGAAACATCATAGGGAATAAAGGAAAAATTCTGGATCAGTCAACTGTGTCTACCTGTGAGAGAGAACACTGGACTTTAGATAAAAAGCCATGAGTCCGAATCCTGACCCTTTGTGGCCAAAAAGATCGTTAAGAATCTTCCAGCTCTCTGATTCTATAATTCATTCACAACTTATTTCACATGGAGATTCCAGATTCAAGGATTCTACCCCGATTTCTATACTGATCTGGTTTACCAACATTAAGTTCAACCATTTCCTTTTTAATTCAGTGTCTATGCTAGGCATTGGGGCACTTTTGGAAAATAACTATTTCTCTAATTTCAAGTCTAGCTACCCTTTTTGACAGCTGTCCTTTGGTTCACCTCTGCTAAAAGCAACAGTGCTATATACTTTCCCATTCAAATACCAGTGTGGAAAGCTCCATCTCAGACTCAACTTATTTATCCTACTAGAGTAACATTTGAATAGGTCAGTGTTCTGTTAATACTGGCAAGAAAATAATTCAAAAGATTCTAATCCTAAAATTGCAGAGTCAGTCTAGCAAAGAAACATACCGTCTATTCAATTTCCTGTCATACACAGTGGGAAGAAGCTTAAGTTAGTATATAGAAATGGCTTCTTCTGCTCTGAAATTTTACAATTATAAAAACAGTTACTTAAGCTATTAATTATAAAAAAGTTCTTAATTTAACATTTAGAACTCACTGAGTAATTTAAATTGTGTTGAAAGTGCTAATAATATCACCTACACCTTCAAATTCTGAACCAAGTGTGTAATTACCCCAAAATGTCCTGCCAGACAAAATATATTTTGAGAATTTTGTTGGTTTACTGTCCACCTGTGTTTATCCATGGATTATGTACCTGTTTTATAATAAAGGGAAAAAAAATTAAGAAACACGTGAATTAGGCTAAAAACCCAAACGTCCAAAAGTTTGTGTAGCATTGTCAATTTCCATGACTTAAATTTTTAGTATATTCCAGTGATAAAAACAAGGAATTGGCTCCTTAGAATAAACTGTAACTTACAAATCCATGTTATGTAATATCTATTACTAAAAATACTTCTTTGGATCCTTATTTTCCTGTCATGCTTTCATGCTGATTTACTCATAGAAGTGATTGCCTATAAAGTTAACCACTCAAAATATGTTAAAAAAATGTCAGTCCACTTAAGTGCATCTTAATACTAAACATTATTTTGCTCATTTATTTCTTTCCCATTAAGAAAAACAAAAGAATCTGAAATTTTAGTTAATGATTTTGTTATATAAACCATCCAACTTTTAGCCATTTCTTCCTAAACATAAAAACTGGTATGCCAGATGGCCAGTGTGGCTCAGTGGTTAAGCATCAACCCATGTACCAAGAGGTTACCCATTTGATTCCTAGTCAGGGCACATGACCAGGTTGTGGGCTAAATCTCCAGTGGGGGCATGCAGGAGGCAGCCAACTGATGTTCTCTCTCATCGATGTTTCTCTCTCTCTCCCTCTCCCTTCCTTTCTCTCTAAAATCAATAAAGGAAAAAGAAATTGGTGTGCTGGCCCTGGCCAGCATGGCTCAGTGGTTAGAGTGTCAGCCCATGCACCAAACAGTTGCAGGCTCGATCCCCACCCCTGGTTGGGGCATGCGCAGGAGGCAACCAATAAATGTGTCTCTCTCACATCAGTATTTCTCTCTCTCTCTCTCACTCTCTTTCTCTCTCCCCTGTTTCCCCTTCCCCTTCCCTTCCACCTTCTCTAAAAATCAATGGAAAAAATCCACCAGCGAGGATTAACAACAAAAACTGGTGTACTGAAAAAATACATATAATAAACTCTGCTATCATTGACACTTCTATTAACTAACATGTCGATATTTTGAGAGTACAATGCAAATGACATATTGATATTCCTAAGGTAATGCAAGATTCTGCAGTATTAGCTAAAAAAAATATTAACTAAACTTTAGGATGACAGTTGTTTACCACTGTATTCCAATGCTCAGAAAAGCAGGCAATCTTTGGAGGACATGTATAATAAACTGCAATGAAAACAAATGCTCCATTCTTCTCTTGCTTTTTGTCTGTTTATATGATGCATTTTTGAATAGATTATACTTGTACATATTGCAAGACTCAAAAGGAAAAGACCAACATACAATGAAAGGTCAGTCTCTTTCCTACCCCACCCCTCATCCACCCAATTCCCCTCCCAAAAGGCAATCACTCTTACTAGTTTCTTACTATCTTACATAAACTGTATGAGCTATTCTGCATTATACATACAATTATGTGTATGTCACACAGTGCTGTTTACCATATACTCTATTCTACACACTTTTTTTTTTTCCTACTAAACATATCTGGAGGTCTTTCCATATCAATCTATAACAAGGTACCTCCAATTTTTTTAATGATTCCTTAATGTTCCATTGCACATATGTATGAAAAAGTACCTAGTCCTTATTAATGAATATTTGAGCAGTTTCCTTCTTTTACTATTATAAACAATGGTGTAAAGAATAACCCTGTATATACATTACCTGCACACATGCAATTATATCTGTAGGATAAATTCTTGGAGATAGAATTCTTAGGCAGAGGCCATGTACATTTAAATTTTTTAAAGTTTGCATTAATTTACACTTCCAGTAGCAGTTTCTATTTGTAATTTCTTATTATGAATGAGAATGTATATTTTGTATAAGTTTAAAGCCATTTATAATTCCTTTTCTGTTAACTTATAATTCCCTTTGCACATTATTCAACTGGGTTACTGTTTTGTTTTTAATAATATTTTTTAAATTTTTATTTCATTGATTTTAGAGAGAAAGAAAAGAAAAGAGAGACGAAGAGAGGGAGGGAGGGAGGGAGAGACAGAGAAATATATCGATTTGCTCTACTTACCTATGTATTCATTGGTTGATTCCTGTATGTGCCCTGACCAGGGATCACTGCCACTGTGGTGAATCCAGACGATGCTCCAACTAAGTGAACTACCTGGCTAGGGCTTGTTTTTAATAATTTTTTAAAGAAACATATATTAAGATTGCTAGCTCCTGTCTCTTACATGAATTGGAAATTTTTCTCCCATTTTGCCATTTGACTTTAATTTTGCTTGTATTTTTTTTAATATGCAAAATGTTTTTAATGTTGTACATTCACACATCTTTTCTTTTACGGTTTCTGGGTTTGGGATCAAACTTGGAAAGGCTTTCTGACTCCAGAATTAAACAAATATATATTTCTCTCACATTTTCTAATGGCAATTTTATCATTTATTTTTTATGCTCAGA